GTGTAGGGTAAGGGCAGGGAAGAGGGTGGGAGTGGGGTAAGGGCAGGGAATAGGGTGGGAGGGGGATAAGTGTAGGGTAAGGGCAGGAACGAGAGTGGGAGTGGGGTACGTGTAGGGTAAGGGTAGGGAAGAGGGTGGGAGTGGGGTAAGGGCAGGGAAGAGGGTGGGAGGGGGGTAGGTGTAGGGTAAGGGCAGGAACGAGAGTGGGAGTGGGGTACGTGTAGGGTAAGGGCAGGGAAGAGGGTGGGAGTGGGATAAGGGCAGGGAATAGGGTGGGAGGGGGGTAAGTGTAGGGTAAGGGCAGGAACGAGAGTGGGAGTGGGGTACGTGTAGGGTAAGGGCAGGAAGAGTGGGAGTGGGGTAGGTGTAGGGTAAGGGCAGCGATGAGGGTGGGAGAGGGGTAGGTGTAGGCTAAGGGCAGGGAAGAGGGTGGGAGTGGGGTAGGTGTAGGGTAATGGCAGCGATGAGGGTGGGAGTGGGGTAGGTGTAGGGTAAGGGCAGGGAAGAGGGTGGGAGTGGGGTAGGTGTAGGGTAAGGGCAGGGAAGAGGGTGGGAGTGGGGTAGGTGTAGGGTAAGGGCAGGAACGAGGGTGGGAGTGAGTGGGGGTGTAGGGTGACACGAGGGTGGGAGAAGGGTGGAAGTTGTAAGAAGTGAAAAGGGATACCCCCTCCACCTTTAATTTATTCGCATCTGTTTGACATTAATTTTAATAAACCTATACATGCATAGCCTGCATAATTGCGTAGAAATCAACATGCGATCTGTTTCATTAAGTACATGTTTAAAGTGTGCACTATAAATTGTGTTATCCATACATCTAACAGTCTAGCTAAACATTGCCATCGTGAGTGGGGGTTTTCTTGCGTTACAGCCTGTAAACGTTGAGATAACACACGGAACTAGCTGTTTCGATGAGTAGGCTCTCTCCTAGACTGGCCCTGAGATTTTATTCTTGCATCTGAGATCCCCTCGAAACGCCAATGAGTGTAAAATATGTAAAACCAATCTAGTGGTGAAAACTGGCTGGTGATAAATTCAGAACTCACTTCATGGCAACGGCATTTTAGTACAGGAGCGAAGGGATATAATTGTGCATTTTTTCACAAATGCATGAAAATTGGAATTCATATGAGATCGAGTACCAATCTCCGTCGATATGGTATATGGCCGCCATCCAATGTTTTACTTGCTGGTAATGAAGTTTTCAGTGATACCACGTGTGACATAAAGTGTCTGCCACTAAATAGCATGCGAGAGAGTTTATTACTAATAATAATAACATTATTAATAACTATATAATGATATAATAATATAATTAACATAATTAATTATTTTACTATGATCAAAATACTCGCGCTTATTGTTATATGTTGAAATTGTAAGCATGGGAGAGTTTCCAACCATGTCATGTAGTGTGTGGAGAGCACCCCTAGTGACGTAAGCGGGGTCAGCAGCCCGTCTTTAACACACAGCATTTATCTACTTGTCTCGTGAATAATGCTATTGTTAATATATAAGCTGTGATGTTGTGTTATGTCCACGTGTGTGTGCTTGAGTGCGTGTGTGTCCCTTCTTGTTTCTGCCCATCCTCTTCATAGTTGGGAATCAGGTATCACAGATGACATCAGCTATATTCGCCTCCTACTTTCTCGGTCTCTTATGATGTTTGTGTGCTCAGTGGTGACCTGGGTCTACCTCTGCTCTTCTCACCAACTGTTTGTCCCATCAGGATATTTGTGCACAAGGGCCTGCTGTCAGAAACAAAATTAGTCTTTTACATTAGTCTTTTTTCTCGTAGACCTGACCTCTATACACTGAGTATGAGAAACCATGTTTCTGTCGATGGTCTATGAGGAAAAGTTAATGTTAAAGCCGCACTATGCGCATCTAAACGCTTATTTCTCCAGTACTAGACTAGCAAATACTTCGTGTCATGCATAATCACACTACCTTATGGCGAAATAAACTCTAGTTCCTCCCATTTCACTGCGCGTTTGCTTAAAACCCACAAGAAAGAGGTGCGAAATCTGGTAATCTGGCGCCAACGCTAAATTGTTTGCCAAACAATTTCGCCAAGAATCGGTTAGGTGACGTCACATGTTTTTATCTTTGCTACACCCGTACCGCTGTACCGCAGCACCGCTCCATGGTTGCTTGGCAGAGCAACGCGAAAGCGTCAACAACATCGGAGAATTTGAACAACATTGGAGGTATTTTCAAATGCCTTTTATAAGACAACGTGCAGTGAAATGGGAGGAACTAGAGTTTATTTTGTCATAAGGTAGTGTGATTATGCATGACACGAAGTATTTGCTAGTCTAGTAGTGGAGAAATTGGCGTTTGGATGCGCATAGTGCGGCTGATAGGGTCTATGTCCCCCAGGGTACTGCCGGAACGTACCCTGGGTACGGTCTGGTATACCGGAACGTACCCTGGTAACTATCTAGCTGATATGGTTAGGGTTAGTGTTAGGGTTAGGGTTAGAGTTAGGGTTAGGGAGTAGGCGTAGGCGACTCCCTTGACTCGTTAGTAGAGTAGGCGAGGTACGGTCCGGCATATTAGATAATAGTATTTAGTACCAGGGTACGTTCCGGCAGTACCCTGGGGGACATAGATCCTATCAGCTATAGTGCGGCTACAGTAATTGTGTTTCTGACAACAGGCCTCTGATTTTGGGCTATGATGACGTCACCAAATTGCTGCCGCTTCCTTTTCCTAATACTAATAGCTAACAGCAGCTCTCGTTCTGCGGCTGTTTACTCAAGCATAGTGTGCATGTAGGCGTTCCTAAAATAATAACTAATGAACGGTGCTTACCGGCCATCTAATAAATGGATTAACATAGAGAGCTAGCTGTTTCGTTTCACAGTAACTCCCTGATTGCACTCCGATTTGAAGACAGTGAGGTGATTCTTTTTACTTGTATTCAAACCCTAACCACACCACTGAGCCACCCCGTGAACTTGTTCTCCTCGTAACTCCATAAGTGAGGGTATGAATATGCGTGAAACCTGATGAACTAGGCACACAAGGGGGACTTTAATGACATGTAAAGACGTTAGAAGTAGAAACGTGGTATGTGCTAGCATGTGGTATGTCAAAGCCATGACCTAATCGAATTGTTTATGCAGTCAGAATTCGTCACGTGATGCTCATTTCGCTGCATCTTGATCGCCGTTTCAGAACACACTCCGATTCTGCGATTCACACAAGTGGCTTGATGGCGCCGTCTAGCCAGTGCCAGCTGGCAGCGCCCCCTGCACAGAGACGAGGTACGAGTATTGGTTGCATGGTCCGCGTCTATAGCGCTCGTGTATGTTACGCGATGGGAGAATTTAGCAGAACTATTTCAGGACCTCTGATGGAAAAATCGTTAAGAAGGGTAGTCTCATCTAGTCACTGTCAATGAGCATAATGCTGTCTCAACATAATCCGCGTTATTATGTACCTCATCAGTATAGGTACCTATAAGTGTATATAAATTTATATATATATATATATATCGCGACGCAACACCACAAGACGTGACAAAGCGAGGAGACCCCACCCCGCCTCTGCTAGCCTTACGGAAACCGAGTTTTGTCTTATAATAAATGTTCAACCCGTGTATAAACAAAGGTGTACCAGATATAGGCGTAGCCAACAAAGGCTAAAATAACCGCAGCTCTCTACTGCACGGCTCCTCACAGCATTATGAGCATCAGGCCAGTTTCATATTCCTGCCACGAGAAGCGGTGTGCGCCACTCCCCTCTCTTCTACTATTTAAGGATCCATTAATACTCTACTCATCTGATTATTTACTCACCCCACAACGACATTCACAGAGACAACTACAAAACTGCCTTACTCACAACCGTACTCGTTAACTGTTGGCCCATGTTCTCTAATCCTTGAGACCCTCTGTGGTCTCACCACAAGCACGTGCGAACACGGCCGTGAACCGTATGTTACGTGTACAGTACACGTACGTCTAGCCTGTCTCACGCATACTCTCAGTCTCTGCACACAACTCAGGCCGGCCTCTGCCAATCTATATGCCTCATTACAAGTGGACAGCTATCGCGGCCTATCCTCACCGACTCCCGCCACGAACTTCGAGTGTAACTCACTAGACGCCCGCAAGACAAACTCGACGTGCACCTCTCGTAAACGCCCAGAGCAAAACTCTATTGTGACTTCACCAACTCCCGGGACAAAACAACAACCGTGTCACTCCCGTTTCACACAGCCGAGTCCAGCTGTATATTTCTCCCGCCGTAGAGGAAAAATACATTCCGCCACTAGCAGCGGTGCAACCCATCCAACATGCCGCTGCCTCCATGTAAGCACTAGACTGAGTCCACAAAAACAATTGGTGAGCAGGCAAAACACTACTAAACAACACACTAAATGACACCGACCTCACAAAATAATTATATCAATCACAAACACAGAATTATTAAACACACACCCTGCCCGTCGTTCCCAGTGAGCTGACAATCCACAATTACCTAGCGCGAACCGATAGGTGACGGGGCCACGCCACACATCCACCCCTCATTCAAGATCGGACCGTCAGGTCGGAGCCAACAACGTAAACCTGACATGCCGCGGTGCACGATCAGCATGCATCATGCTTCGGATCACGATCAGTCTAGAGAAGAGCGAACGCTTTTGAAACGTGTAGAGCACGGGAAATGATAGCAAAGACTGCGTTCAATAATGACAACGGTGTTCGGACATGCAGGACAGTCATTTGGCCATAGAATGCAGGAGGGAGAGATATGTTCGATCATCATACCCGCATTTGGAGAGCGCAGTGCTGGCTAGTACGGTATAAAACAGTGAGACAGATAAATGAGGACACCGAGTCGATTAGCTCGACAAGAGTAGTGGTATAGCGAAGTAGAATAGAATGGATTCGATGTCCGGCGGAAACCAACAGAAAAGAAGCCAAAACACCTACGTTCTGCTGGAACAGGCGACGAAATTTAGATAGATTCATGCAAAGTTTCGCATACGGCACATGGAATGGATGGGAGATGAAATGAGGCACACAGACTTTTCATGGCCATTAAGATGACAGTCTTTGGATGCGAATAGTGCGATTAGATCCTAGTTTGCCCTACGTTTGATGAGATAGCTGACGTCTTAAACGGCCGATCGGCGATTCCGCGGAAAAAAGCAGGAGTTATATCGCAGTGAACTTAAGCAACGCGTCGAAGAGGCATGTGACGAAAGTCCAGCTGATTATGCGCATCAACTCGTAGGCCTTAGCCGAAAGCTTTTCCACAAATGCGTAGCCGAGACAGAGAATATGCAGTTAGTGCGATGATTTGCTTCCGCGCGTTGAAGGAAATAAACCTAAGAAAAACAGTTAAGCGCTGACAGAGAAATCGATACGTATAGAACAAGCAGTCATCATGTGGGATGAGGAGTAGCGCCACTTAAGAGGCTTTCTGTTACGGAAGAAAAAAAGACCGCCTTGTGGAAAAAAAAAAGAGACACCCCCCCCCCCCCCGCCCCGCCCCCCCCCCGAAATTTATTTTTAGAGAAAAAAAGAAAACGCTCGTAAAAAAGAGAAATTTTATTTAGGAAAGGGTTTGTCCATCTGTGGGGTGGGGAGGGGGGGGGGCGGGGCGGGCGGTTAAAAAAAAAAAAACCCAGCCCGCCTCCGGCTCAAGGGGCTTTCAAAAAAAACTCCCTTAAGAATTTCAACAAAAAGAAAAAACATGAGCGGGCGCCGAATTTGTTTTTTTAGGGATTTGCGGAAAATAAAAAAAAAAAAACAAGCCCGAAGTCCGAAGGCGGGCGGGGATCGTGGGGCAAAAAAAAATTTGAGGAACCAAAGCGGAGAGAAGAGGACAGACAGAAAACAGGCTGGGCGACGGAGCGGGGTCGGCCATAAAGGGGGGCCGCTGGGTGCGGGGAGATCTAGCGGGGGGGAGAAGGAGGGCCCCCCCCCCCGCCCCCCCCCCCCCCCCCAAATGCTGGTGGGAAAAAAATAACCTAAATTCTCTCTGTGTCTGATTTTTTTTATTTGAGATTCAGTAACTATATAGAGATTATGATGATTGATTTATAAGGATTTATATGTTATTTTGGGTATCGTAATGTATTCGATCGAGAGAACAGAGAGAGAAGAGAGAGAAAGAGGGACGAAAATAAAGGGAGGGGCGGAGGGGACCCCCCAAAAGAGAGCGGACGCCCCACAAGAAGACAAAAAAAGTTCGGGTAGGAGAGGGATGATCCCAGGAGCAGATGGAGGGGGACGAGAGAGAGAGCGAGACGAGGAGAGGAGAGAGAAAAGAGAGAAAGATGAAGAGAAGAGAGGAGAAACGAGAGAGCAGACGAGAGACGCAGGAGAGAGAGAGGAGATAGAAAGAGACAAGAGAGAGAGAGACTGGATGAGAGATCGAGAGAGAGAGAGAAAGAGAAAGAGAGAGGGGAGGAGAAAGGCAATTCGTATTTTTGGTGTGTTTAGTATTGCACCGTAGCATGGTTGGTTACGTAGAATAATGTTACCTAGGCTGGGATAGATGGCGGATGACCTGAGCAACTCCTCTGTTGCACGCATCCATCTACATCCATCTGAGCCAATCAAACAAGTTCGATCTAGGTATTTTGTAGTCCCTTGCGTGTAAGTAGCAAGGTTGTACGGGAAGCGCACAATTAGATCGGCTAAAGAATCCACGGCGGGCCCCCCCCCCATTGTGAAGCAATGCAACTGCCACAACTACCCTCTCTAACATGCCATGCTGATGCCCATACGCCTAGCTCTAGACTTTGCATGTATTTTGCCAGCATCTCTCTGTCTATCTGTGGCTTGCTGTGTATATATATATATAGTATATATATATATATA